GCTAACAGTGAAATGCTATACATATTTGCAGAAATCCTATGGAGTTCAATGACTTCAACTTCTAGGTAAATAGAAGGAAGTTCCACTGAACTGACTGGGACTTGCTTTTGAGTAGACATCTATAGAATTGCACTGAACAGTTCCCTTCATTGATCAATGCACATTTCCATCCTACTCATGACCCTTGTTTATTTTGATGTTGTTTAATTATGTAAGAGGAGGGAGAGACAAAGAAAACTTTAAAAGGGGAGCCTCTGAAGCATAACTGATATTTTTTTTGGGGGGGGGAGGAGTTTTATTCCAGCACATAACCTTAAAAGCACTTCATTTCTGGAATCATTTCTTTCCACCTTTGGCTTTCACTCAGAGGCACAAACAGGCTCTTTCTCGGATGCTTAAATCTTTCACCTACAACCTCAGCAAATGCTAATTGGCAAAATAGAGGAAGAAAATACCCCTTTCAACTTATAGCAACACATTTGCATATGCCATTAGATGTCACTGAACTATGTAACCAAAAGGTACTACCAAGTAATGGCTTATGCAAATCAGGAGTGAAGATAACAGGTTTCTTGTTACCCCACAGAGGCTTCAACTTGAAATCCTGCTTCAAAACTTTACTGTCTACAAAGTACTCTTTAGAACAGGACTGATCTCCTCCTTTCAGCTTAGAGAAGATTAGCTCTTGTAACTGGATTTTTGAGAAATCCAGGGGGAAAGCTGGATTTCGTCTTTTTAGACCTCGGGAGGAATACAAGAGATCAAGCTTTGCCATTTGCTTTACCTGACATAAAAGAGGCAGGCTTAATTAAAATGTGTGGGTATTTTGCAGGTGCACATCCGGGATGGTATAGTACATCTCTAGCACAAATCAATGGATGCTTGCTTAGAATTCCCAGAGAGAGAAAAAGATATTTCCATAGCTACAGCAATGCTGAGATCTGGAGCAAAATGCAAAGTTTGCCACAGACTGAAATCCTCTTCAGTTGTTGAGCCAAATATGCATGAACTGTGGCACCAACTGCTGAGGGAATGAAGGAGTGTGTGTGCCAATCATAGGAGCCAACTCCTAGGGGCCAAGGTCCCTTTGCCCCCTCATAAAATAGTTGAGGCCTCCCCCTCAGTTGATGGGCATTGCCATTCAAATGGTGTGCGTGTGTCCATCTTGTGATGGATTATGTGGGGTGGGGCTTACCTGGCCCCCCAATATTGTATTCAACTTGGCACCCCTTGTTTCAATCCTGCCCCAACAGTCCTGCACGTGCTGATCATGTATGCTCCACCAATCTTCTCACACTGAACCAGAAAGTAGGAAGGCTGAACATGCTTTGAGGCCCCTTTCAGACCTTCCCACTGCTGGAACAGAGACAAACAAACCCTGCAGATCTGCAGATGACTAAGGCCTCAGGCCTTCCTTGCTTGAAAGCCAATCGTCCTGAGATATGTGCTTTGCCATGATGAAGAACATCACAGGGAAAGTGAGTTCCCCTTGATAGTAAGGTTTCATTTTCAGGCAATTGATAAACAATGTATCTGCAGCATGCTCATTAAAAATGAAATAGATAGTTATGAAGTACAACAGATAAAATCCCTTTTTGTTATAACTATAGTTTATCACTCCCTTAACAGGTTCTTGTTCAGTGCTTGAAACAAGTGGCCTGTAAATCAGATATTTATTGTTATTATTATTAATTATTTATGGTTCACCCTTAAAGTACACAGCACTCTGTAACTGCCCAGGACTGTGCCATGCTTACAACCACCATAAATAGTTTATTATGAATGGCTTCCTATAAAGCATTTATAATATGACTTTTAATACAACATGCGGCCTGTAAATTGTGTTAACAGATTGAAGAAGTGGAGATTTTGCCAAAGGGATGCACACTTTTCAAAGGGTGTAGTCTAATTAGTTTTCCTGCATTCATGGAAAGGTGTTTGATCCAGTGGAGTCCTCCTCCAACGGAAGAGATTCCATTGTTGCCACTTTCCCCTGCAGCCTCACATGCCACTTTCCCCTCTGTTCTGGAGAGCCCTGCAGCTCTCTGCAGCTGATTTACATCTCCCTTCTTCACTAGGAGAGGCGCCCACTGTATTAATACACCTATAAGTGCAAACATCATAAATATAAGGGCACCAATGGCATACCACCCTTAAGATTTGAATGCCAGGTATAGATGAAAATCACCTAGGATCTCCCTGCTGTTAAATATCCTTCCACTTAGGTTTGTGAATTCTGGGGAGCTATTGTACATATGCACCTATGAGGCTTGGAAGCACATTGATAATTTACTGACTTATTGCTAGGGGAAACAGTGGTCAAATGTTCCACAGCTTTCCCAGTCTCCCCCATGACATTGCTAGTGGCCCCAAGCTCGATATGTTTCATCTAGACTTTAGGATGTCACAGAGAGAAAAAGGGAACAGAATTCAGGTCAGTCATAGATGCACCAAATTGGACACACCTCAGATGGAGCAATAGCTCAGTTGGTTACAGCATGGTGCCAATAACGCCAAGGTTGCAGGTTCAATTCCCATATGGAAAAGCTGCATATTCCTCCATTGCAGGGGTTTGAACGAGATGATCCTCAGGGTCCCTTCCAAGTCTACAATTCTATGAGTCTAAGTGGAGGCCCTCACCCCCCACCCAAACAAACAAACAAAATACTGAAGGTGTGATGCAAAGCACGGACACCACAGAAGCTCTTTGTTAGGAGCGTTTTGCACCACATGCCAAAACTATGATTTACAACAGCAATATGTGGGGGCCCAGGATGTCTTATGCAGCAATTATATTGTGCAGCGACTGTCTGCCTGACTGGGGCCCATAGATAGATAGATAGATGATAGATAGATGATAGATAGATATGAATGTAATAACGTAAGAAGAGCCTGCTGCATCAAGCCAGTGGACCACCAAGTCCAGCACCCTGTTCTCATAGTGGCCAACCAGATGTCTATGGGAATCAGCAGAGCAGACCCATAACAACACTCTCCCTTCTTGCAGTTTCCAGCAAGTGGTATTCAGAAGCAGAGGCAGAGTATAGCTGTCATGACCAGTAGCCACTGATGGTCTTATGCGCCGTTAATTTGTCTAATCCTCTTCCCAAGCCATCAAAGGTGATAGCCATCCCTGCCTCTTGTGGGAGCAAATGCCATAGTTTAACTATGTGCTGTGTGGAGAAGTACTTTCTTTTGCCTGTCTTGAATCTCCCAACATTCAGCTTCACTGGGTTTCAGTGAGTTGTAGTGTTATGAGGATGAACTCAATACCAAAAATAGTAATTCCCTGGGTGGGGATATCTTTACTGGAGCAGGAGGAGATGTATTTTCATCTTTTGGGCAAGCTTTGGAAAACCAAGCAGTACACGGATATAGGCTAGGTGATCAGAAACTATCATGGTTCCTTATAATGTAATGCATATTTAAATCAAAATAGAATCCTATATTTAAATTTAGTCAAATTTTATTTTTCACATGAATATTATTATTTTGTATTGGTGTAAGGCTGCAATCCTAACTATGCATACTCTAATTGAAATCAGTGGGGCTAATCCCAGATAAGTGGGGTTAGATGTGCAACCGTGTGTATTTAAACTGACACCACAGGTTTTTAAAGATATGCAGTGATCAGAAGCATACATTTAATTTCAATGCTTATCATTAATAATATATTCCACTTTCCCCCTTGCAACAGGAAAATTGCCTTCAGAGGAGCAAATGAATAGTGTGCTGTATGGAACACAGGAAGCTGCTTTCTATTGAGTCAAGGTAGGTTATCAAGGTAGGCATCAGGTGGGACTCTCTGGGAGAGCATTCTACAGCCAGGGTGCCACTACTGGAAACATCCTCCATCTAGTAGCCATTCACTGTACTTGGTAGGGGAATCACAATAAGAATGTGCTTTACCTCTGAACCACAGCCCTTCCCATTTTTCTGTGGCTAGAACTCTACAGATCTGGAGAAACAAACACACCTAACCAAAATAAAATAAGACTTATGTACTCATATTTACATCACCAGATATAACTTGGTGCAGGAGCACCCAGCAGGGAGGGCATTGCTGAACAGCTGGCCTCCTGGCAACAGCATCACTGTCACTTACCTGGAGAGAAGGAGGGAGGAGAGGCCAGAACAGTGTGGATGCACTGGTACAGCTAATCCAGCACTCCTACTGGTGCACCCAAACAGTGCCAGGCTCCCCACTACTTCACCCCTCTTCCTTCCAGTAAGCTGGAGTGACACTGCTGCTGGGAGGCCAGGTGTGTGGAACTGACCCTCCCCACCAACAGCCCATCTCATTGAACCCTGAAAGATGTATAGTGTTCAAAACTCCCTTTGCATATGAAGTTTCTTAGCAAACTTCAGTAAGGACAGGGACAACTGCACATATACATTCAGCACACAGAGCTGATCCCAACTTTGTGGCCAATGCTTCTTAACACAGGAGCTCCTGATGTATATGCAAAAACCTGCACCCTTTTGGGTTTGTTTCCCCCCAAAATGTTACAGATGAACACCTCTGGTTTGCTTGCAGTCTTTATGAAAACAAATTGCAGGTCTACAATTGCAAATCTTTCTACAAAATGTAAACGGCAAGGGTCACAGAGTCCTCTGTTTAATAAAGACACCCATACATAAAACAGACAATCTTTCCTGATCTGTTTTCTAGCTGGAACAGGAAAAAGGAGTTTGTCCTCATGAAATTTTCAGATGTTTTCCTTGACTTGAGATGCCTAGACAAATAATTGGATAAACCTCTAGCTTTTAATGCGGTGATCTGAAATCCTTCTCTCCCTTTTTCATTTCATTATAAATCAAATATATAGAAAAAGTGATGCATAATGAAGGAGTTGTAGGTAGGATGAATCTGTGCATTTTATTTTCTATTGTTCCGCAACAAAATCTCACAATCACATCTTATTTGCTTGTTTAGAGGAACATGACGCATTATGCATGCCCTCAAATATAGCTACATAATGTCCTACGGTGATACCTACCTGTGCTGTCATCATAAACAACCGTGACAGTTTTCCACTTGAAGAACTGCACAAGGTCAAGGATGGCGCGGCTGAGTGAAGAGAAATCTGGATAAAGACTGACATAGAATGAGTCTTTGTTGTCTGAAACCTGATGCTTCCAGCGCGTCTGTATATGTGGAACCCCTAAAGCGTTGCAGATAGATTGCACTGCATTAGCCGAAGAGCTATGTGAAGGTCCAAAGATAGCTGCTACTCCAAGAGAGAGCTGATCACAAGCTGAAAGGAAAGGAAAGTATGATTAACAGTGTGCAGAGAATAACACACACAGTGATAGTTTTTTCAGGCAGTCATCTGCTCAAGCAGGCTTGCTGTTGAAGCAAGTCTCTCTCTACAGGCAAAGTACAAAGTAACTACATTTTGAGAATATGTGCTTAAGTATTAAGTTAGAGATGTGCACATTGTGATCTGTCAGTGTCAACAGATCTCTTTTCACCTGTTGTTGTGGCTCTCTGGGAGGCTTAAAAAGGAGGCAGGGATTCTACCACAATCAAAACAGATGTCCATGGGGCTTAGAGGCTATCTAGTGTCCTTGCCAGCACATCCACTTGGATTTTGGCATTTTTGGTTCCCTTGGCTTCGAACATTTGCATGATCAGTTTTGTGGACTATAGGATCCACACTGCAAACTCTCGTCTTTGCTTCAACATTAGCTTTCTAACACTCAAGCTTGTTATTAGCTAACCCTTAGCCTTGGGGCATCATGTTCACAAACTGCTGTTTGCATTGTCTTACCTAGTCACCTGTGCATCCATAAAGACTAACCAGCACCACCCAGTTCTAAACATTTGCACAAGCTTATCTGCCTGGAGCATAATTTCCCTGACATGTAAAATCAGGGCTTTTGACAATGCCCTAGTACTGCAATTAGCACAACTCATTCTGTGCATTTATTGTCTGTATTTGTTAATACGATATGTAAGCTACAAATGCTCAGTGCATCTCAACCTGCACTAGGTATCACACAAAGAGAAAAGCGATGCGGTAGAAGAGTCCACCTTGGATTGCTAAGGAATTTGATATCTAGCTTGAATTATTTCCTTTTCACCTTGTGGAGGTGAATCCACCATCACTGTGGCTACATTTGAAGCCATTGAATATTGCTGCAGAGGGATCATTTTATTGATGTGCTATTTGCACATTTTAATGTGTCCATCTTTTCTGGATAAGGAGAATCAAGTTCAGTGAGGGTATCTTTATACTACATTTACTCCTAAATTCCTTGCTAACTACATGATATCCATAATCTAGAAGAAATATCCAGATAGAGCCTCTTCCTAGAGAAATAATAATTCTGTCTTTGGTGAGAGGGAGAAGGCTGGTAGTTTTGTTTTGTTTTTAAATTAATTTAGCATTGAAATGCTGTAGTAGGGTTAGCCTCTTTCAGTCATAGTAGAAAGGAGTTGAAGTAAACAATACAATGCAAAACAGTAAAAATAAGGCGTGTGGTGCTCTTTTCTATGCCGTTCATGCTGTGCAATACAGAACATCCTTCTATGATGTTTGAGTATAAGGCACAATTCTGTAGAAGTCATTGGACGCAATCCAATCTGGGTCCATTAGAAACCAGTGGGAAGTCTGTCACAGATTTCAATGGGATACAAATTTCCCCATGAAGTTTGCCGCTTCTAAGCATGGGCACGCACTGTTGTAACTACTAAGCATGAACTTTTTTTGAAGTGCATTGTTCACTAATGCATCTACCTTTTGTACCTGTAATAAAATGCTACGAGATGGAACCTGTAACAAGCAGTGATAGCTGGCAAATTGTTCCCTCCCAGTAGACTTTTAAAGAAACCCCATGAAAGGCACATTTCTTCTGCATGTGGCTTACAATGATTCTATTCTAAGCTAACAGTGTGATCTTAAAAAAAAGTATTAACAAGAATTTTGATTGCATTTCCAGCATTCTTAGTTCAAATGACATCTTCAGCAAATTCTGCTCTTGCCCAGGGATTTTTCATCGGTATGGTGCTTTTAAAATCTAATTAATTTCCCATCTGTACTCCATTCCAGGCATCCAGCTGATGGGCAGTCTGATATACAGCCAAATTAAAACTTATTGCAACAGCACTATACCAGCTGAAATCAAAGTATGTGGAGTGATTTAACTGGGTTGAGGTCTAAAATAACAATACTTTTGATAAGAACATTTGCCTGGTCACTAAGCATGAGCTACTGCCCCAGCTGAAAATATCAATATGGTTGTTAAGACTTCTGTCACAATAAAGGCACCATGGTATCTGAACTATCCACCTTTCCTTTCCAACTTCTTCCATCTTATAGAAATGCCTGGCAAAGACGTACTGCTGTTTTGAAGCCGTGCAAACTACACTTATGAGAGTGGACAAAGTGTGGGAATTGTGCCAAGGAGACCTGGGGCAACAACCCCTTCAAGTAAAAAAAAGTCAATGTCTTCCTGCCTCAGGTCCCTATTCCTCAATAAAGGGCATCAAAAGCAATCAAGATTGCTGTGAAGATGGAAGAAATAATTACTTACATTGGCATGGCTTTCGGTCATTGATAATGTACCTTGCTTTACTTTGTTGTATGTGTATGCAGGCCAGAAGGAGCCCAGCATGGGACTCTCACTAATAGACGTCTGTACTCATGGCTTTTGCCTCACTATAGAGATCAGTGCCAGCCATGAATTTTACAAGAGACAAGTATGTGGGGGCCAGGGCTGCACAACATAAGCACAATGTAAGCACACCATGTGCGCACACCACGGGGTGTGTGCACAGCCACCACAGAATTTGGGAGGCACTAGCCCCCTCCTTGGAAATTTGAGGGGGCCTCACACCCCCATGGCACCTGTGACAGGAGAAGTGCACAGAGCTGCAGTTAAGAAGCATACTAAGGTGGGCTTGGCTTCTGTGATGTAACCAATGAACGGGGAAACCATCCACCCAGTGGCTAACCTCTAAAAGCAGGAGGGAAATCAGGCTAAATGTGGCCCTCTAGGCCTCTCTATCAGGCCCACTCCAGACCATGCCCCTCCACCAAGCCATGTTTCATCTCTCCAGACCATAACCTTCACTGGTCCTCCTCTCTATTTTTGAGTGCTTTTTTCCAGGCTGGAATGTGCTGTTGAACTTTGATAGTGCCCCTTTCTTGACTGGACAAGGGTGGGTAGATATGTATGTATGTGCGTAGAAACCTCTTGTTTTTGCATGGCCAGGATGTAGCTTACTGTGCAGAGGTAAGTATTACAATACTCTACCCACTTTTGCTTCAGGCCTTGCTCACCAGGTATCCACTGCGCAGCTCCCGGAAAGTTGCTCACAGGCCTTTTGGGACTGGGGGAAAAAGAAAGGTTCCCCATCCCTGCTCCAAAACTCTTAGAAACATACCTTTTTTGGATGCTTCAAAACTATCATAGAGATTTATCTTCTGAGTATCGTATGTTAATGTAGTGTTTGGCAACAGAGTTCTGTTTCTATTGATTGTGTTCACAGCAAATCTGAAGGCCAGTTCTTCTGCTCCCATTGCTCCCGTTGGGCCAGATTCCACACATTCAAAAATACCCCCTGGAGAAATAAAAAAGACAAGAGGGAGGAAATATTACTTAAAATGTCCAAGATCATCAAGTCATGACAACAGATTTTACAGGTTATGTACAGATTGCCCTGTTGAAGTCTGGTTGTAAGGGGTTGGTTGGGTTTTTTTGGGGGGGAGGGGAGTGTTCTGCTTAGGTCACAATCCAAAAAAGAATCCAAATACATATGTATATCATGAACTGTGGGCAAGCCGCAGGTCTTCCTGTTATAGACCTGCTGGGATTGACAAGGCATCTGACCCTCACCTGAATCTCATAGCTCTCCTGATGAGTGCTCTGGTCTGCCTACCAGATACCAGGCACTCTACTATTCAAATTAAGCCCCAGTGTTTGTTACAATCCCCTTCTCAATTAAGTAATCAATTTTAATCTAGAATTTGAATTCTCAAAACTTTCTTATTTGTTAATTTGAGCAAGTAAACTACTGCTCTAACTTCATTACAAACAGTATTTCTACCTGCAACACACCTGAGCAAACCTGCTCCTTTTCCTTTCACAGATATTTTGTTGCCATTTGCAACTGTAGCTGCCTCTGATTAGTTACCATTTAACTCTTGGGGGAAATAATTAGCATCACACGTCATGTGCATGGAAGTTACCAAACCAATTAACCAACTAGAAGGATAGCACCAGTTTTCCTATAACTTGATATTGCTGGATAGTTTTGATGAACCGCAAAAGCATTTTCAGTTTGCTTTCTGTTGCCACTCTGGAACTTTTCTTTATTAGTGCCACTTTGTTTTGTACGATTCCTTGCAAATGAAGGAAAACAACTTTTCTGCTTGTATATGTTGATAATATAATTTTGGTTACTGAGGACAAACAAGATTGTACAAAAACAAGATTGGGTGCAGGCCTGGCCAGGTGTCCTGACTGTGACAAAGGTGACCTGTGTGCTTGCTTGCTTGCTTGCTTGCTTAACAGCTGTTGGGAATTTCAAGGTCCCTGCTCTCCCTTCTTATGGACTTTGTACTGGACCTGAAGACTCCAATAGAGAGCTTTATATTTTAGGAAGACTTTGGAAGAACTGGTTGACAAGTCTTATCAGTTGCAGACGTATGAGCGGATTTTATTTGCTGCTATTCTGGGCTCCTGGTGCACCAGGGTTTACACCAGCGTAATAGAGTTAGCCAGGACACCAGAAAGGATCCAATTTATGAGCCTTCTTCATTATCTGCACAGCAGGGGGTGTTCAGTCAACAGTGCAAAGGCTGAGCTGAAGCATTCCCTGCTGGTTACCTGCTTTCAGCAATAGGAATCGCTGTTTGGTAGTACCCAATTGGTTAGCTGTCAGATTCTAGAGCTCCCTATTGGTGGTTCTTAGGTAATTCACAAAATACAGAGTCCATTCATAAAACACAGTGTTCATTCATAAAGCAGTAACATAAATCTCCATTGCTACATATTGGGTGTATATTTCAGCGGTTGAATGTACAGGTTGATGGCCATGCTGTAGTGTAGTGCTTATGCGACTGTGAATAAAAGGTGGCAAGGCTCATTGTATCGGGGTTGGGGGGGAGATTTCCAATAATTTTGGGAGGCGGAGACTGCCCACTGGGGAGCAGGCAGGCTGGCGAGGCCCCCTAGATTTAGATGCCCTAGGCTTCAGCCTACTTAACCTATACATAAACCCAGCACTGGGGCCCTGTCTGCTTTCACTGGCTTTGCAACCTGTTTGTGGATTGATTTGCTCTCTTTCTTTTTTTCTTTCTTTTAGGGATCTCACATGTGTCAAGGTATCTAGTGGCTATCAAGGCTCACTTTATAGGACGGCATCTGACTGAAATTCGGACATGAGAAACAAGTGGAAACAACATGACACAAAAAGAGCAAAGCATACAGGCAATAATGGGCACTTTGTAAGTCCCTCATCACTCTGCTAATTAGTATATTATCAAAGCCCCAGAGAGGTTTAGCTTAGCAAACTGCCTCCTTGCTTCAGCCTCCTGTCTCATCACTAGCAGAAAAGTGGAGTGTTTATGTTTGTTTTTTCTACTGCCAAACCTATAAAACCCACCCCTTGGGAAATGGATAGTGAAATTACATGAAAGCAAAAAAAAAATCACATACTGTGAAAGAAAGTGAGGAAATTGCTGTTTAAAATGGTACCTCGTTAGATCTCACAAAGATCCAATGATTAGAGCATGATATTTAAAATGTGCAGATACAAACTGAGCGAGCAGGAAAAGAATTTTCTGCAAATGACTATAATGGGACAATATGAAAGGGAACACAAAAGTTATAAAGAGAGAAGGAAAAGAAATGGGTCACTCCAGACAACAGTCAGGTGGTGTTAAACAAGAAAAGGGGCAGAGAAGCTGAATAATTGACTAATGCACATATGAATATGAGAGGAAGATGAATATGCTGCAGGTTAATGGACAGAGACATATTCAAGAATTTCTAGTCTCATTAGCAATCCTCTATACTCAGGGCTTTACCAAGGTATTTACTAAGATATTTGAAATCGCACTGCATCCTGAAGATAGATTCTGTTTTGATTTCAGCAGTCTCAAAAAAAAAAAAGTTTTGCAGCAGAACATGGGCAATTATTCCCTTTGCTAGATACCAACTGACAAGGAGAGGAAAAGCATGTTTGTTAAAAATGATCAAGACTTTTAAAAAGGGTATTTGGGGTTTTTGTTGAGGCAATGATAACACTGTGAATAAATAAATCCAGGAACACTGGATGAGTTATGAAATAGAATATTATATCCAAACTGACAATAGATTCATATCAACAAAAAGGCAAATTTAATGGGATTCCACCCCCCCCCCATGAAATGTACACTTGGGAAAGCATCACAGTTCTTTTACATCTTAATCAAAAGCTCTGCACAACACTTCTGCCCATCACAAAAACACAGCATTCTTCCTGCTATGGAATATATTGCTACTTCTGTGCTCCTGTTTGTATAAATTGTCCCTTAGTTGCTGGATTTAGAGAATCACGAGTCACAAGCATTAGTAGAACTGATACTAGGCTTGACCACCATGTCCGTAGCAATATTTTCCTTCCTACGAAATGGGAGGGGGAGGGGGGAATCTATGATGCACTAAATTACCCCATAATACCAGGTCCTGCCTTCCAAAAGGCTGTCATGAGTCTTGTTAGTCGATCTAAACTTGTCAGTTGCTTTCCCTACCATTGTTGTGCCTATTCATGACAGCAGTATTAATAACCAAGTAAGGCATGCAACACATGTTCTCAGATAAACAAGGAGAGAGAAAAGTAATAAATCTCACAATTCTAAAGTAGAAAAGCTGCCAAAACCCTGGCCTATCTCTGTCTCACAGCTTGAAGGAGGCAGAAATGCGACTTGTCCGATTTCCAGGGCATCCTTTGGGACTGAAATAGGACCTTTATCCAAAACTGCCATGGCTCAAATAATCTAAAATAGCTACTTAAAATCCACTTAAAATCCACCATTTTTACACCCGAAAACCAGGGCATTTCACTTTCCTGGTGTATGGAAAGACTATCTTATTTGCATTCAAAGCTTTGAACTTAATACATGACACTGTGGTTGCCATCAAACCCATTCAAGGACCATGATAACCCTGTATGCTGCATTTAACAATAAAACTTAAAAGGTAAAGGACCCCTGGGCAGTTAAGTCCAGACAAAAGTGACTATGGGGTGTGGTGCTCATCTCGCTTCAGGCAGAGGTAGCTGGTGTTTGTCCACGAACAGCTTTCCGGGTCCTGTGGCCAGCATGACTAAACCACTTCTGGTGCAACAGGACACCGTGACAGAAGCCAGAGTGCAAGGATTGCCGTTTACCTTCCCACTGCAGCAGTACCAATTTATCTACTTGCACTGGTATGCTTTCAAACTGCTAGGTTGGCAGGAGCTGGGACCAAGCAAAGGGAGCTCACCCCGTTGTGGGGATTCAAACCACTGACCTTCTGATTGACAAGCCCAAGAGGCTCAGTGGTTTAGACCACAGTGCCACCCTTGAATTTAACAATAAGCAGCCAGGGACAACAGCATATGGAATGTGGCCCGAGGTTTCTTATCAAGCTGGAAATTGTTAGACAAAAGATCTGCAAATTCATGCCAGAAAATACACATGCCTTAACACTGACCAAATTCTTTATAAAATATGTGCCATATTAATGAAAATAGGCTCTTCTGAAAGCAAGAATCACCACCTCCTGACTACTTATGATGTTGGGGTCCTATGTTTCATTTATCTAAGAAAATCACATCAAAATAACTGAACACCACTGTGAAGAACTGTTTCAACTGTGTTGTGTTCTATTTTGTTTGTAAAATGGTTGTCTTCTGCTTTTAGTAGATGTGTTCCAACCAAGATGTCCAACAGTTTACAGGAGGCAGCAGTGGACTTGGGGCTTTCAATTTTCAACAGCACCCTGTGCGATGCCAACATTCAGTGTGCCCTTACCTCTTGTCTTCCATTCTAAGCCATTGTTGGGGCACCCAACTCTCTGGAGCAGATTTTTGTGGGCAGCAAGGGAGCAGAGATGAAGGAGAAGTCCGCTTGTTCAAGTTGAAATCTGGTCCAGTGCTGAATATAACTCATTTACTTGGTGGCAGGCACAGAGTAGAAGGGGTTGGATTAGCTCATTTGCTGATCTATCCTTCTTGACGTAGTGTAGGCTGCAGACCATGCGACCACAACCACCATAAGTTTTATGGTAGACACAGGACCCAATCAGCTGGGAAGCGCCTCTTGAGCATGCCCTACTGAAATGAGTAAGTGCTCACAAAACTACCATATAGTATTTTATGGATCTTCTGAGCCCATTATATCATCTCTGGCTACCTGCAATTTCACAGTAAACATACAGTAACCATAAATGGGAATTAGTTTGCCCTCTCGATGACAGGATATTACTTTACATGAGGTAGCACAAGCTGTTGTCTTGGCACTGCCATATCTAAAGCAGATGTGTCCATGGGAAAGTTTAGTAAGACAGACTGAAGTGTTTTATGAATGCTAGTAC